CCTTATATATTAACCAAGAATCATAAATCCAAGCGATGTAGGACATTTAATGACAAATTCTACCAAAATGCAAAATTTTAAAGATCACAAATACTTATGAAATTGACTTTAAATTACAGATTCAATTACACAATATTTTTGTAAACAAACAATCCATGTCCAAGTTGACGGAAAAGTCAATTTGTAGAAAGACACATGCACGTTTGCAAAGCACTTTAGACCACAAGACTCTACCTAAACAATCTTGAATGTAACAATTACTTTACATGTGCGATGTTTAACAATTCTGTTTAAATTAAATGAATTGACAACGATTTATTTACGCCCCCTCAATTTTCTTTATTTCACTCTGATTTTCCTAGACTTTTGACCTCTCTATTTTTCCTTTAAAAAATACATCTCTTCATATTTCCTCCTAAACTATTTAAACTCTTCAAAATTTCTAAAATCAAGATTGCGTTTCAGTAACCGAGTATTAACAAATATTCGTATAACCTAATCGCGTTTACAATAACCTGATTTTAGCTAAAATTCGAATCTAAATTCTATTTTAAACCCTCATTTTTCACAGAAATGGTTACAATACGGGTTATATCAAATGCGATTATGAACCAAGTTAATCTAAACGGCATTTTCTGAAACGCAATTTCCGAGTAATTAAACGAAATCAATGGTTTAACTCGATTTCAGAAATTTTGAAGAGTTTAAATAGTTTGGGGAGAAATATGAAGAGATATACTTTTTAAAGAGGAGAAATATAGAGGTCGAAAGTGTGGAGGGATCAGAGCGGAATGTGGAAAGTTGAGGAGGCCTAGAGCAGTCGAAGAAAAAACTGCTCCAAAGTATTGAATTCTTCGAAGAACCTAAACATGTTAATTCTCGACAGGCAAATGTGTTGGATATATTTTCGACTATTTCTATTTGATTTTCGACTAATTTTGAATCAAATTGTAAATCCTAATTCCAAAACATTTGTCAAGACAACTCACTGGCGAGTCAACTTAGCAATTTTGCTTTTTTTGGTTGTCGCAGATTTTCAACGGATCAAAAATATTTTGACTACCAAAACGCAAAAGATTTGAATCTCCGCATGTACCAATTTAGATAGATTTCTGAAAAATATATATGTTGGAAAATAAAAATTATATCACACAGGCTGAGTTTATGAAGCTAGGAATTTAGGAAAACACATAATTTTTTTACCCTGAGTTCGGCTCCCACTTGACAGATTTTTACCTTCATTTGGTCAGCGAACACGATGACACAGATAAGATCCATAAAAAAATATGGTGAATATACTATTCGACAGTTACACTCATTTTTAAAGGATTAAACTTCTTAGTTATAAAAAACTAAAGCTTTAGATATCATATTAGTTTATTAATTTAAAGATACCATACATGTTAAAATGTCTTGTAGTGTAAAGGTTAAGTTTGGATTTCTAATATGAATTGTATTTTTCATAAATGTTAAAATGTCTTGTAGCATCTTTTTTTATGTTTACCTTTAAAAAATATGATAAGTATGAACCATGAATTGTAGATTTTATGGTTTTTTATATATTTTGTGTGTGTTTACGCTATTTTTGTGTTTTCATGTATATAAACACTCCATCTTTTCTCTTTTTTTCACAGCTTCAACTATCACTTTCTCTTTTTCTCTCTGAAATCAGCTCTCTTTAGCCCTAAACAAAGCTAGTAATTAAATGTCTGTAATTAGTATTTATATGTATAATTTTAATTAACTGATTTAGATTAAGTAGTTAGTTATGTTTGAAATTTAAATTGTATAGATTATGTTATTCATTAGTAGTTTATGTATGGTACGGTTTAATTTATATATAAATTCCAGCTTAAAATATTAGTATGATTAATCTATAAATTTGGCTTAGAAACAATTTCATGCTCTTAAGAATACAATGAGAAAAGATGAAAGAGGTGAAAAA